CCCCCCCTTCCCTTCCCTTCCAGTCCAGTCTCCAACTCTCGTCCCCACCCCACTGCCTGTCCTCCGTCGTGGTTCTAACCCAATAAACCATCGATCTCACCTTGCACACGCACACACATACACATACACACCCCCCCCCCCAAGCAGGCAGACACAGGCGGCCGGTCACACATAGTCTAACCCCCCCGTCAACGGTCCCCACTGATCGGTTCCATCGGCGGCACGCTGTGAATCATTCACAGCCCGTCTCCCTGTCTCCAGCCAAGTAGTGCCGGGCGCTGCTCGTACTATCACTGGGTGACTTTGCTTCTGCAGGCAGGGAACCTTGGGAAAGCGATCGATCGTGGACAGGGTACAGCCTCATGTGGCGGCGTCCGTCCTGACAATAGCTCCTCACCAGCCACAACTGGTGTCTGCACATTCCACCCTGTCACTGTCACCTATTGTTTCTGGTGAATTTTGTGATTTTTGATATTATTTTTTTTTTACGTCGTCGTGCCTGGTTCTGCCCACCCATCACTGGCTTACTTCCCTGCTCACCGCCTTGGGAACGCTGACCTCGTCCCCAACAACCATCACCACCCCAGTCTGCAACGCACCGATTTGCTCAAACCTTTCCGCTGATCCGCTTCCTGCCACCTACCAGGCCAACGACCACTGCATGCGAGCCGTGGTCCGTCCGCGTTCAACTATCCGAGGATCACTTGCATCGTCGCAGCTTCGCCCTCCTGTCTTGCTGCTGTAGCCAACCACGTCGCCATCCTTCCCCCGTTTTGGCATCCTGATCCCCTTCGCGTTCCTCTGACGCGCCCGCGGCCTTGCGACGGTGCCCTCACCCTTTCCCCGTCCTGCCTTGGCCCGTCATGTATAGCACCTCCCAATCCTCCGTTCCCGCTCCGATGAATGGCATCGGAGGGGAACTGGTCGATGGGTCGGGGACGATCAATCCCGCGGCCTTGAACAATGGTATGTAACTGATTCTCCCTCCCTCCCTCGCTTCTTTGTCCGCCTTTGCGTCACCGCTCGCTGGTTTAGTTCTTACTTCATCCCTCCCTCGTTTTCTTTTTCATTTTCTTCTTCTTTTCTTCCTTTTTGGTCGCTCTTCGGTCTTTTTTTGGTCGTCACGCTCGGTAGCGATGGGGCTTGTCCGTCGCCGCTCATGGAGGTCATAACAAACCTCTTCTACTCTCCTGCTTGTCCATCGCGACAGCCTCCAAACTGACGACTTTCTATTAGTCGCCGTTGTACTTCCAACCCCTCCTTATGGTGGAATTGCAACCCCAACGAGTATAGCTCCTCGTGGTGTAAAGCGAAGTCGAACCCCAGACCAGCGCGGGAATGCACGCGCGGACGGAGACCATGACGACGGTATGTGTGCGTCGGAGTCCTCTAACGATTCGCTTCGTGGAATTCCGGAAGCTATGGGGATTCTTGGCATTCGCGTTTCTCGCGCGTTCTTGTTGCTGTTTGACTTTACACACTTTTGTCTTTGTTGCTTTCTTTCTACACGTGCACTTACTTTATCGCGCGATCATGATGGCTGACGCGTGGACTTCTCTGAAAACAGCAGATGAACAAGGCCGTCGGAAACGAGGTCGTCCCCCAAAGACTCCACGACCATCAACAACGAGCACCAGCGATCAAACTTCTTCGTCCAACATCCACCTCCAAACCCCCCGTTTGCAGACTCAACCTCTTCCGTCGCCAGCGACCGTCAATGTGTCGCCTCCGCAGGCTTCTCCGCCAGATAAAACCACGCCTACCAAGTCCACTCTCGTCAAGGCCCTCCCGACCGTCCGAGACCATACGACGGATCAACTCAATGAAGAAGGTGACGAATACATCCCCAAGGAATTCGACGAGGCCGGTGAGAAGAAGGTCGATGCCATGGGCTACCTCCAAGGTGGCCGAGAGTACAAATGTCGAACATTCCGTGTTCCTCTCCGTGGGACCAAGCTTTTCATGCTTGCGACCGAATGCGCAAGGGTGTTGGGATATCGCGATTCGTACCTCCTCTTCAACAAGAACCGGTCGCTGCACAAGATAATTGCCACGCAGATTGAGAAGGACGATCTCATCCAGCAGGACATCCTGCCGTACTCCTATCGCTCGCGTCAGATTGCAATTGTGACGGCCAAATCGATGTTCCGTCAATTCGGGAGCCGGGTGATTGTGAATGGGCGACGCGTGCGCGATGACTACTGGGAGAGTAAAGCACGTAAGCAGGGATTTACGGAGGATGATTTGGCTGGCGAGAAACGGCCAGGCGGTACCAAGGCCCGGGATGCGGCCGCAGCAGAAGCGGCGGGCGCAGCGAGCTTCCTGCCCGCCCTGGCTCACGGCGATGTCATCTACAGCAACGCGCTGGAAGCTGTGCCGAATAGCTTACCTCTTGGCCCTCCGTCATCTGTCTCTCTCGCGCCGCTCCCCATGATCCATATGGCTACCACCACCGACGATCCCCGACTGAGAGAGTATAACAGCATGCCTCGCCCTCGTCAGGAGTTGACAGGCCAGCCTTACCAGGACCGCTCGACACCCAGCTCTGCCGCTGAAATTCTGAACCAGGCGTCGCATACCGCCGACTTCAATAAAATCCTCACGTCGCAACGGAGTTATCGCCAAAAAGGACTGGAAGAGTTCTATGCGAAACAGCGGGAGATCCCCGTCTCCGCCGCGCAATCACAGCCGGGCCAGCTCGATTCGACGCCGTCTGTGTCCCAGCCCTTGCAGTCGCCGCAGATACCTTCCACTGGAATGATGAACTCGGCTCAGTCGCAGCAGGCAATGCTTCCCCACCAGGCACCGATCATGCCTGGCCAATCTGGTTTCCAGCCACCGGCAGCCCACCAGCAGCCACCTGTGGCGCCATCGCCCGTTCGGGGGGTGCCCCCCGTTCGTCCGGAATTGATGCATCAACGGTCTAATCCTGCCATGGCTGCAGGGACACCACAGCCGCCTACCCCCTACGGCTTTCCATCTCAAGCGCAACAGATGTGGGGACAGCCACCGCCTCAACCGCAACCATCTCCACTATCCGCTGGCCCTCAGGGCGTCGGAATGCCACAGTTCGCACCCCAGTTGCATGCACAACAGTCCCCCTCTCCGCTCGCACACTCCATGCCGCAGCAGCAACATTCTCAATCACCTCGGAACCAACCTCGCCCATCAGTGCCTCCGATGCCGCAGTCTTTCCCGATGCATCCCCAGCAGGCTCCGCAACAACAGCCCATGGCGGCGATGGGGTATCCCGGTGTCACGGCGGCACCGTATCCGGCTGTGACCGCTGCCAGAGGCATGTATCCTGCGACGCAAGGCCCGGGGGGTCAACAGTTCATGGCAGGCACCCCCCAGCAGCCAGGTATGGCCATGGGGATGAGCGCCGGCGGTGCCATGCCAGGGTGGCCACCCGCTGGTCCGATGCAGCCCGGTCATCCGCAGCCTGGTCAGTCTGGGACTCCGCTCGGGTGGTCAGGCTATTGAACATGAGCTGAACGAGACAATATCCTCGGTGGCGGCGTTGTCCAAATTCGGCGTTTGCGGAAATGGGAGTCGCACTGGTGATGATGATGCTGTGGGTCTATGAAAAAGAGACGCGCCCGCTCAAGGTTATTTTGATCTTCGTTCTTATACCATGGATCCGAACTGTTTTTCCTTTGTGATCGGCTACCTTTTGCATTGTCCCGTCATACCCATTTCATTGATGCTATATATTATCCTTGTCCCAAGGATAATGGCTAATGATAATCTGCACGCGTTTTCTTCTTATACCCTCTGTTATACCCGGTCAGTTATGCATGCCTTGTCCATTGATGTTTCTCTTGTCTGTTCTTGACGTGTTTGTTTTGCGCGGGGGTTCGCAAGATTTCGTGAACCGAATCTGCAGTCACAAGTGTTGAGATGGTGCATTTTCATATGTCCATGATAGAGGGACGGTCAGATGGTATGGCGGTGAATGTTTCGTTCTGTCGGGGTCGGCGTCTTCAGCCCTTATTCTTAAAGTTCTCTCATTCTTCCGTGTCTTTTAAGCACCTTGAGCATTGTTGTTCGCTGCACACCCTACTCCTGACCCGTTACTGTTTATTTCTGGGTACCATCACTATTGCTCTTGGCTTCGCACACAGATCTTGTCCAGTTTCTATCGTGATACTCTCGATGTTGTCTTTGTGCCTACAATATGCAGATCAAACACGGTTGCACACCCCGGGGGCTCTTAATTTGACCAATCCCCTCGCCAGCCAGCTTGCTCTTCCATGTCTCCCTGCGCCCGTCGCAGCACCACTACCGTAGGCGAAGCATTCGATCTGCTTCCAAACTCCTCTTGTGTATGGCGTTTCCACGTGGATATACCAGAATGCCTTTGTAGGAATACAAGACCATTTTGGACCAATTATAACAATAATTATCTATATACACTCGGGATGATCAATCATACATACAGCCTCTCATGCTACATCCTCCCCCTAGTACGCATTCGTCACCAGCGGGGTAGTCACGGGCGCCGCCGAAGACGCACACACGCAGGACGCCACAGAGGTCACCGGCGGCGCCGTGCAATGCGCACTGGTAGTCCACGCCGTAGAGGTCGGAACGGGTTCCGGCTCCCGGATGGTCTCCGCGCGAACCAGCACGGGAATGACCGCACCAGTGGACAAACTAAAGGTCCGATGACCGAGGACGCGCAGAATGGACGAGATCTCGCCCGAGTGACTCGTCACGGAGACAAAGCGGCCGACCTTCTTCGAGTCCTTGAACACGGAGTCCAGGGCGTCTTTGCTCCGAACGTCCTGCGCGGCGCTGGTCTCCCCGGTCACACCGTTCCAGAGCTCGTCTTCCTCCGTGAAGCCCTTTTCGATGGGCCAGGTGGGGAAGAGGTTGTGGATGTAGGTGCGGTTGCGGCGGTTGTCACAGGTGTGGATGCTGATGCCTTCGCGGAAGAATTCCTTGATGAGTGGTTGGAAGGGGGCGCTGTCGGCGGGGTACCGGAGACCGGAGAAGGTGATGTTGGCGGTGCGGAGGGTGCGGGTGAGTGGGCTGACGAAGTAGCTGTCGGGGGTGTGGATGCGCTGGGAGTCGATCTCGGTTTGCCAGAAGTCGTGGGCTACTTGGGCTTGTTCGATACCGGCGGTGGTCAGGTCCGCGTCGTGCCAGGTGGCGGTCCCGTTGCCGTCCAGGAGGGACCAGTAGCACTGCGGGAGGAGTGAGTGAGTGATGAGTTGTGGTTGGGGGGGG